CATTAAAAAGATTTATGAAATATAAAATGAAAACAATTAATCCTTTTCCTACACCACGGCTAAAAGATAACTACCCGATCCCTGAAAATTTGGCGGTAGAATTGGTGTTTGTGGACCTAAATTTAGATGTGGGTTATCGACAAATTGTGTGATCGATCCTACATTTAGTACAATGCAGGCGTCATGATACGTTGCTGACGTGGTGCGAATATCAAGTAATATTTTTAACTTTTGTACAAGAGACACTACGTATTGTATAAATCATTGCTTTTGTGAAGTATAGAAACATCAGACTAAAAATTTCTTTGACGTTGTCTAAGAGACAAAAGTGCAGAATCCGGTGCATCTGAAGGCATCACGAACTAAATTAGACCAGCATATTGTGGCATATACAGATGCTGATGTAGTCAATGAAAGAGATGATTGACGGTCTTTGACCGGATTTGTACAGCAAAATGATGGCTGCACTTACGCTTATACAACTCATATAAACGATTAATTACTGATAATGCGTGCTGTTCAAAGTTAGTGTCGGCTGATTGCAGCACGATGATAATGTAAGCGCACAATATGTGGAAAGAGTTTAGTGTGAGTTGCAAACAAACGATTTTATACGAAAAGAAACCACGCAGCAATAAGGTGACCGAAGCGAGCACAGGGGGCTATAATAATAAAATTAATGATGTCGAGTACCGAAAGAAACGAGATAACGTAGAGGAAGACGAGTTTTATTTGGTATGATTCTCATCAGAAGTGAGGCTGGCTCTCACTTAAGCCTCTTGGAATTACTCAGTTTAAATTGCTACGGTATATTAAAAATTACGCTATAAAAATTGTCCAGTGCATACTACGTTGCCGTAGTAAGTAGCCGCAACAAAAGACATCAGACAGTAGATACAACAATGTGTGTGTGCTAAAAGTACAAGGTATCGTGTCTTTGAATCTATATTTTGTGTCCGGACGTTAATGGATGTGCAGAAGAAGGCTAGCTATCTTTTTTGCGTAATAGGAGTAGAAATTAGAATCGTACGAAATATAGTCAAGTCCTGATCATTAACCTATGTTTAGTCCAAACTTTAGTTTTATTATTTACAGATGTGTATGCTTAAGTCTCGATCAACACTCATTGCGCGCGTCCATCGCTCATTGGACCGCAAGAGTTGGATGACATGATGGCTTGTATCAGACAATCGGTGAGCGTTTCTAAATATTACTCCTTATGGTAATATAAATGAATATTACCAACCTTTTGATAATATTATCACTAAAACGTATCGGGTGTTGACTATATGTGGTAGGCTCACCACGTTACACCTAACGGTTTTGTGGCTTAGTATGATAATGATACGCACCGGTACAGTTGGCTGGGATGCTCCGTTACAATTGGTATAATCAAAGCATGTGTGCGCCCGTTGGTGTACATTTTACAGTATAGGTCGAAAGAGAGGGTGACACCTTCGACGTTTCTCCATCTCAATTTCGAAGTTGCTCAGCAAGAACCAAGTGTTCTGCTTTACCCTCCTGGATTGTAGTGCGACCGATACTGGACTTTGGCACTAACCTGCACATTATAACATTTTTCGGTAGTGCTTCCAATCATTAACCGAATTCTTCGGCTGCCGCGTATTTCAGACGAGACTTTCCATATTTGTATGACAGCGTACGTTCCTTTGATCTGTCGAAAAAGAATACTGAACTAAGTTATCTGTTGTAGTGAGCAAACGATGTTAATTGCATGAATATACGAATCTCACACAGCGCTACTTATAACAAAAAATGGCCATCCATATTAAGACCGATATCGTTTTTGCGATTACTGTTGTCAATTTGGGCCTAAATTTTTAAATAAAACTAATCAGACGCAGGACCCAAAAATTAAACTTATTTAATCAATCGGTAACGATACCGCAAAGTTTTCAGTGGTCTTTTCTCTGTCGATATGACTCGGCATTACGTGAATGCTTTCAAACACAATTTGTAGTCGTTGCAAAACTCAAATGCATCTCTTTTATTGTCTAATTGTTTACCGTGATCTTTCCTCCCATAACTGATCTTCGAGCAACAAAAATACGCAAGCTTGATGCTGCTTCTTTCAAAGTGTAGAATTAAATTGCTTTTCTATCTGCTCTTGTACAACATATTCCGTCTTACGACAGTAGAAATTCTGTTACAGGTTTAATTTTTACTCAAAATCTTGAGACAGGTTGAGTTCTACAAAGTTGTGATTTTAATGCAATTAAACTGGATGCTAGTAATCTGCATACTGTGCTGTTGTCATTCGCAACTAAAAGAGAAATTAAATTTGGCGTCTATGTTTCGAGCGATTTTCTAGTCAAAATGTTTAATTAATTTTTTTGCTGTCGTCATACGCAAAAACTTGGCACGCGACAGGTTTTTGGTCTCTTTGCAATAAAAGCAATGGAATGCCTCACACTACGATGGAGCATCGTGTACATCAAAAGCAAATTTGCAGTCAAATTATTTAAAAATTTCGAAGCAAGTAAGTGCTGCACAAGTTCAACAGGATAACTCTGCGTCTTTGGTCCCTGTTCCCTCCTATTATACACCTTGTGCTTCTGACAGTTTTTTAGTAAAAAAATGAAGTGCAAGCACCAAGACATATTCGAGGCCCAACAAAAAAACTTTCTCGGGATGCTTCGAATAAGAAAGTGTTCAATATTGCAAAATATATCGAGAATACTCCTGCTTTAGCCGAGAGTGATATTCAACAAGGTTGTCCTCCTTGGTCATTTCCATTTCGTACCAGCAAAACAATCGTCGCTTCAACAGAGTCAAATTGACAGTATCAAGGACTCACTCTTGACCTAGTCATAAATTACAGGAAGGTGTAGTCTCAAAAGTACGTTTTCATACATTTACTATGATGACTGGTAGTTACGATGGCGATGATGGAGCTCTTAAGGTCTCATGCTCTTTGAAGTATTATATCATCTAGGATCAAAACTGATCGATTTTAATTTGAAGAATGTGTTTAAAATGACCGGAGAAATAAGACCACATAGAGTGTACAGATAACTTGGATAATATGATGTCTAAAAAATGTTATTTCCCTGTACCGGATAAGATGTTGATCCTCTAGGTCAGTGTCTATTTATGTGTACCAAAAAAAATTGACACATGTTAGACTTTACAATTAATAAATTGTAGTGTGTGCACGGCCGTTTCACGAAATTTGCGTGGGCTTTTAATTGTCTATGTACAATTCAAAATGAACGTTCTGTGAAAAGGATTCGAAAGATAAAATGGTATGGCTGCATTCTGTTGCTTGAAGGTAACGCGTTGATTCAAAATTGTGTGTCTGCGCTACAATCTATGTGAACGCCATCGTATCGAAAGTATGTACGCTCACAGCTTAAGCGATATGTTGTGGAAAATCAAATCAGTGGTCTCTGGTTCGATAAATGACATGAGTTTTTAGTGATGAAGCTAAAATCTCAATTCCTGATGTAGGGGGTTCGCCAGTTCTTTCTTGCCAGGCAGTGACGTCCAGTAACTCTTACGACATAGCCCATTGTAGATAGAGAGAAGAGAAAACCGCAGCAGAGAGAAGGGGAGTCGTTAAGGACAAAAGATGGAACTAATGTGACCTTTATAGGGGCAACAACTCAAGAAATCATATCAATGGTTAGCAAAATTATATGCATAATATTAATCACTTTTACTGTTGTTATTTCAGCAGCATCTCTGATCCATGTCTTTTACGCTCCCTTATACAGCTTACGAGCCTAAGTGTCAACTCTGGGTCTATGTTGACATCGTTACCGGAAACAACGATACGCTGTAGGTGTACAAGATGAACATAATTCTTATGTCCAGCGGCCTATGGATTTTATGAAAGGCATTTTGTCTGCGGACATGGAGTGGAAGTGCATGCGTCATGCTTGCTCATGATAATATAACACGTTTATCACCGAAAAAATTGATGCCCTATGAAAAAATTTTAGTTTCGATATTATTGCATGATTGGTGCCACAGAAAGGTATTTACGAATCAGCGTCTGTGTGAGTGATCTGCTTCTACTTTTTCTGGGTGCTGATCTCTGTCTGCGTGTTGATGACTATTTTCGCCTGTTGATTCCGACTCTGTAAAGTCGCCACATCTCGAGCCCTTAAACAGGAACCGTTGTCTGCCTCTTCACCGAGCAGGGCTGTGGTAGAAATAGCTTATATCTCTGTGTCTGCCTCGTCTGTGTCGGGGCACCCTTTGTTTAGGGTGCCACGAAACCTTACGTACACTCGTACGTGCAGAGGAACCTAATCTACTCAAACGACTCGTTTGAGCAAAGGGTAAAAAGAGAACTGTATTTAATATAGTTTAGCTATCAATATAACTTTAGTCTTTATCTAACTATATTGAACTACGTCGTCGTATGACGACCGCCTGCTCACCACCCATTGCGCGCGTCTAGCAGCGATTGGTTGTAAAAAAATCTATGGTTGATAAGCTTTTATCAACCAATCATTGAGCAGCGCATGAATATTATCTACAAAGGGATAATATTCCATCAATATTATCCATCTTGGATAGTATTGGTAGAATATTGTCGTACTAGACAATATTTCTATTGACATAATTTGATGTCAATATCATGTAGTGGGCTACCCCGTTACATCACCCTTCCTTAACCATCAATCACCTGTGATTGAATAGAATTGATTGGGACAGGGTGACCACCGTTGTTTACTTTGGGAAAGGGAGCACTTGTTGGTCAATTTCCACTCATTTGCCAATCCAACGCATGGCTTCCAAACTTATGCAAGTTGCTACTGCAGCAGCGAGAAAAGCGGCTGCACGCATGCGTGTAGCCGGAGTTAGTTTATCTCACGCCTCAGCAGCAGATGATTCGTCGCCTGTTGTTGTGAACAGTCCACGTGGTTAGTTCCCATTAGCGACAGGTACATCCGCTGCGTCTGCAGAGGGTGGGGTTAATCGCTATGCAGATGAGTCTGAGTAGAACTCATCTACTTTGGCGAGTCGGATTATCCATCCGACTCAAAGGCGGCGCCTCCTGCATCCGGATCACCCGGTGCGGACCCTGCCAGAGCTGGGTTGACTGGCTCTGGGAAATGTGGGGCCATCATGTCCGAGATCTTCGGACCGAGCGATTCGTCTGACGAGTCCTCG